TTGTTGCACTTTTGGCTTCGTATTTCGCTTTGTTGTTATTAATGATGCAGAGTTAAAACACCATATCATCCGATAAAATGTTACAACAATGTTTCTTGTTAGTAACCAAAATTGTAGCAACTGAAACACATGAAAGCTGAAAACATTGCTATTTTTCCTACTCACAAATTTCCCGACAACTTATTAGAAAATTTATGACGGGGGTACAAAACTGGGGGGGTCATAAATTATTTCTGGGGGGGTCATATGCCCGTCTGCGAAACCCTGTGTCTCCACCACTGTTTTCAAACTATTTTTGGCATCTTAGCCTGGTTGAAAAATTTTGTTGGGTGTGACATTGTGTCACCCCTCCTGTGCTGGCACCCGGGGTGGTCCGCACACCCTCGCCCCCCCCCCTTAGCTACGCCCCTGAGTGTGTGAAAATTGGTTCTAACCGAAAGCCTACGTTTTCTTGTATAAAAATATGCTAACCATTCAAAGAATGGAATTAAAACAAAAGACCGGAATCCCAAGAGACAAAAAACATCAAAATATTGCAGTATATTTGAAGGAATAATGGCTGGGTATAACTTTAAATCCGGAATAAAAGGCCAGGTTGGGATAAAAAGTTAAGTTTTGAAATTCATTCGTTCATACATTTGTTTTCAGAAAAATAAGAAGAAAATAGAAGTGGTTGGAATAAACGGGTAGGTTGGTAAAAATTAATAATAAAATAAACGGGTTTAGCGGGGCAAAAATCTAACAGCCGGTCAGGATCGTTACTCCCGGACGCTAAAGTAGGCTACATCAACTTTCTTACTATTGACTGTGTTTATACATAAAAAAAATATGGCAGCGCGTATTGTAATATATATATATATATATGTGTGTGTGTGTGTGTGTGTGTGTGAACAGGGCCGGTGCCCCCCCTGCATCTAAAATACGCCCCTCCAATCTATGATACAGGGACCCCCATTCTATTACCTCCCAGTTTTCATAAGGTAGTATTCCTATAAAATACAAATTTTATTCTAACCTAATTATGTACAATAATGGATCATATGCAATATAGGTGAACAACTAGAAAAATTTTAAATAAATCCAATGTATCTAAATACAAATTAGAGACATGTCATAATAGATTATTCCATCTTTAATAAATCAAACAATGTTTTACGGAAATTTTTAACATCAACTCAAGATTTTTGTTGTTCAAACGTTGAATAATTTTAACACGTTCAACATTATGGATAAAAAAATAGTGTCTGTCTGTATTTCTTAGATGAGGTATTATGTACATTATTTACATTATTCGGACTATTGTCCTCATCTTTGTCGCCATATTTATCACAACGTTTCGGCCGTTGTACGCTCCGGCCTTCTTCAGGTGGTTGGAATTTCGAATAGTGAATTTTATTATAGAGACTATATATTATATTATTAGAGACTTGATTTGTACAAAATGTTCATCTTTTAATACTTACATGTGCTTAGATTAATTTGTAACGTATATAAATGTACATAGAAAAAAGCAAATGCTGTTAAGATAATGAAGGTCACAAAGCCCTGCCCGGGCCCCCAATCAGGCTTATTTCCCCACCCTGCTCGTGGGGTTTGGAGGCAGTGCGCACAGGCCCTATATATGCACATACATACATCGTGCCCCAAAAGTTTGGGCTGTGAATAAAAATGAATGTTCTCTAGTCACTTGTGAAACGGCAGATAGAGGAAATTTGTATGTCGTTGTCTTCCATTATTAAGTAATAAAAATTTCCAAATGATATATTGTTAAACGTAGAGAGACAATTGTGATGGTTAACAAGTTTGTTTGACCAGATCAGTTTTGACTGAGTAATCTGTTCGAACCTAGCTGGTTGCTACAGATTTTCGGCTTTGTTCCACATCTAACCTACGCATAGTAAATTTCTATGGTTAAATACAGAAACATTATTTAATAGAAATACATTTTAATTCGAAAACTGGAAAAATTACAATTAAAAATTAAAAAGGATTTTGTCGGTTGAACTTAAAAAAAAACACTTATTTGGAAAAATTATTATTGACTAAATAACACACACACCCATTAAATTAATTTTCCTTATGTTTTCTGATGTTTAACGATTGCCTATTGTGTGTAGTAGGAATCCAAAATTTTCCAAAATAACCTCTCTGATGATGGCTCATGTGAGCCGAAAGCTTAGATCGAGGAATGCATAATAAAAAAATTCAAATGTTGAACAGTTTTTGTCTTTATTTTCTCCCGAAACTAAAGCCACTATACGAAGCTTAGAACGGCTCATGATCAAACATAATAGACACTCATTGTCTGTTATATTTAACAGTATATGTTTGAGTAATGATCTGCTGCACCAATACACACACACACTATATATATATATATATATATATATATATATATATATATATATATGTGTGTGTGTGTGTGTGCGTGTGTGTGTGTGTGTGTGTGTACTGGTTCCATGTAGCTTGGGAAATATGTGTGTATATGTGTGTGTGTACTGATTACTTGTGGTGGGATAGTGTGTATGTGCGTATGTGTGTGTATGCGTGTATAGGTACAAATAAGTTTACGAATTCCTCGTAGTAAGACAATATGTATGGAGGGGAAATATACGCACGCATATATACACGCATGCTGACAGGAACACGCCAAAATAGAAACAGATCCAAGAGCACATATAGGGGTCACTAAAACATTAAAAAGATTAAATGCCGATAACTACTCGCTGGACAAACCTTAATTGTTTTATGACCCTTCACGCAGAACTCTTCATTGACAATTCTAGAAAGAAAATTCGGATTGCCAACACACAAATAGAGAATGTCTCATATCGAGAACATTTCACATTGAACATGAAGAAAAAATTAATTATTTTTAATAATATGTAGAAATCTCCACTTTTACCTGAAGACGGTCGCGAGACCAGAAACACGTGTCGTAGTAAAATTATGTAAAACAAAGCATAATATTTTTTCTAAATAAATCCACATTACAACCAAAAAACGTTTGCGGCACCTCTCTTCTTTTTAATTATATATATATATATATATATATATATATATATATATATATATATATATAGTTAGTTAGTTAATGAAGTTATTTGGTAATCCGTATAGATAATTCCAAGGAGGATGTAATCAAGAGAGCTCAATGTATAAACAGAGCAAATATTAATTAAGTTGAAAAACAGACCACTTTATGGGTTCATGGGATTATAATTTATTTCCTTAGGACCGGAATTTTGGAAATAAGTTATTATCCCATGAACCCTTAAAGTTGTCTGTTTATATATATATATATATATATATATATATATATATATTCATTTCTCTTGGAGCAACCTTAATTGTTTTATGACTTTTCCTGCAGAACTCTTCACTACCAATTCAAGAAAGACATTCGGATTACTAACACAAAAACAGAGAATGTCTCATATCGAGAATATTTAACATTGAAAAACATAAGGAAAAAAATTAATTATTTTTAATAATTTGTGGAAATCTCCGCTTTTACCTGAAGACGCTCACGAGACCAGAAACACGTGTAGTAAAATTCTGGAAAATAAAGCATAATATTTAAAAAAAAAAAAAAAATCCACATTACAACCAAAAACGTTTGCGGCACCTCTCCTCTCTTCTTTTTAAGATACACACTTTTCTCTCGTTGGAACCACTATAACCTCTTTCTTTTATATATATATATATATATATATATATATATATAATACAAGTATAAAGTTAGTCACTTAGTTGATTAATGTTACCTTTAGCATCCCGACTATAGAGGTTTGTAGACGGGAATCACTCCGTCCACTCGTCAGGGGGCATCTACAATATGGTAGAAAATTATATAAAACATATAAAATACATGGAAAAAAGCCTTTAAGCTCCTCCAATCCCCTAATTCATATCCAACGCTAAACAAAAAAGGCGGGAAGCCACTAGCACGCAAGGATGCGAGTGTGGGAGCAAGAGTAAAGAGGCGTGATAGAGGAAAGGATGAAGAGAAGGACGGGGAATAGATCAAGACATCTGGAAATGTCGATTGACATTACATTTGAATAGTTGGAGATTATAGCTATCAGGGAAACAAGTAATAGGAAGGGAGTTGCACACACGGGAAGTGCGAGACATGAAGCTATGAAGAGACAGCTACATTTGACCGTTTCGACAGCGAAAGGGTGGGACCTAGTTGCCAACCGAGTAGCACGTTTAAATTCATGCAGTTTGGGAACCAGCGAAAGTAGCTCGTCGGAGCAGTTACCGTGAAAGTATTTGTAGAAAAGACAGAGGGAAGCGACGACACGTCTGTGAGAGAGCGACTGTAGACCTTGTCGAGGACCTTAAGACGAACAGCGTGGGCACTAGACCATATATGGCAGCAGTTACAACTACAAGTGAAAAGAATTTATGTAAGCTTAAAATAAAATTTGTTACATCTACTTCTAAAACAATGCAAGACTCAATACAAAAGAAAATAATAAGTTAAACATTGAAGGATGAGAAATTTACTCTATCACCTGTAATAATTGCCACAAAGAAGACATAGGGTAAACCTCAAGGAATTTAAATAAATGATTATATGACAACAAAAGGCATCTTTCACGAAACAACACACTCTACACATTACTGGCTAACCGTAACGAGACTAACGATAATTTCAATTTAGAAAATACTACTTTAGTTTAAAATAGAAAGCAATTTACGAACACGAAAGTATATAGAAAGTGCTTTAATCGCTAGATCATCCACAGTAAATTTGCGTTCAGCTTAGTACATTTTACTCATGGCAGATTTTCTATTATCACAATGGGCGATATATAACAACTAAAGTGAAAAAAGCAACTGAATAAAATCAACTATAAAAGTATATACCCAGACTCCATTAAAAAGAAAAAAAAATAAGTTTAAGATTTCAGCGTCCGCTGCGCATGTGCAGTTACATCACTGTAAAAATCACTTTAACCCGAAACCACATCATCACATTGAAATCACCGTAGAATCACCGAAGTTAAGCAACGTCGAGCCTGGTCAGTATCTAGATGGGTGACTGCTTGGGAATACCAGGTGCTGTAAGCTTGGACGGGCAGGCACGGTAATGGATAATGGCTCGGAATTGTTAATCGGAGAGCGGAGTTCGAATTCCAGTTAGTTCCTTATGATCACTTGCGGGAAAGATACCCTCGGGGAAAAGATATGAATCCAGTTCTTCTCCTCTCAGATATGGGTTAATTAGTAAGACCTATATATATATATATATATATATATATATATATAAAGAAAAACATTATCTTCAAAAACAAAATAAAATTGAGTTCGGCATTAAATAATCCATAAAGGTGTTGATATACCGCTAAACAAAAACAATCAACTTTAGCCCGTTGAAGTCCGAAAGCTTTGTCATGGTACAGTCTTTTTAGCGAAAAGTGCAGGTACCTATATATATATATATATATATATATATATATATATATATATATATATGTATATATGTATATGTGTATGTGTGTGTGTGTGTGTGTGTGTGTTATGGTGTGCATGTGTATTTATGTATTTATATGTATGTCAATTTAAAAAATGTTCATCAGTGTGGATGTGCGCGTGTGTGCAGTTGTCTTTCAAATAAACCACGTTGAAACAGAAGTACCATAGGATATATATATATATATATATATATATATATATATATATATATATATATATATGCAAAATACCAATTCTAGGATTATATATATGTGTGTGTGTGTGGAAAAAACAATTTGTGGTATATATATATATATATATATATATATATGTGTGTGTGTGTGTGTGTGTGTGTGTGTGTGTGTGTGTGTGTGTGTGTGTGTGTGTGTGTGTGTGTGTGTGTAAAATATCATTTTGTGACTGGTCGGGATAATTCCAAGAAAGATATTAATCCAAAGAAAGCTGAATGAAAATAACACACCATTATAAGGTTTTATAAATACATACATACATACATACATACATATATATATATATATATATATATATATATATATATATATATATATATATATATATACAAAAAAAAATTAACTCAACATGTAATTTTGTTTTTTTTGCTGTAAAAAAAAAACACCGATTTCCTGTACTATATATATATATATATATATATATATATATATATATATATATATATATATATATATATATATAGTACAGGAAATCGATCCGTTGTTATTTAATCTAGGTGGATCCTAGTAATATTAATTATTAAAACTAATCTACAGAGAGCTCGATGTGTTTTTTACAGCAAAAAAAAAAAATTACATGTTGAGTTAATTTTTTGGCTGTAAATAACCTTATCAGACGTTATGAAAACAATTTACATAAAATAAATAGACAACACTTGTCTATATTATTCAATGAAACATATATATATATATATATATATATATATATATATATATATATATATATATATATATATAATAGTAGGGAAAAAAACTTTTCGGAACTATTATTTTTCTCCTTACTATTACTTATATTGCTCTGTCTAAAATACATTGAGCACTTTGAATTGACTTTTGATATCTGTTATATTAAAAAATAACTTCCTTGGAATAATCCTTGCCACTTACGGATTTAGTATTATATATATATATATATATATATATATATATATATATATATATATATATATATATATATAAATAAATTCACTGATTTAAAATAATTGAAGAAACTTAAAATAGCGAAGAAAGCATATTTTAAATCATTTAATCAATTTAAATCAGTTAATTTAATTTATAATATTTACATTGAGCACTGTTTTGTAAGAATAAAAAAAAAAATATCAATAAGAACACCGGATTATATATCTTAGTGTTCTTTATATATATATATATATATATATATATATATATATATATATATATATATATATATATATATATATATATATATAAACGGTATTGCTGGATAAATAGGTAGGTAGATCGAATCCAATCATAGTCAGTGTGTAATACCAGGAGACGAAGCGGCCGAAAAGAAGAACCGGCCCCCATCCCACCATCCCGAGATCTCACCGCTGCCGTCATCTTCGAAAAGAAAAGAGAGAGAGAGAGAGAACGAGAGAGAGAGAGAGAGAGAGAGAATACGAGAAATATAACGGTAGAGTGGGCAGTCGAAAAGAACAGATTTGATAACCAGACTGGTTTGATGAACGAGCGAGTGAGGAGGTGAAAGGAGAAGAGCGGACGTGGGGGAGGGAGGGATTGCAAGAGAGAGAGAGAGAAAAGTGGTGGTGGTGGTGGTGGTGGGGTGCGATGAAGGTTGTTGTAAGTAAAAGGGTTGATTAGAAAAGACGGCAAAGTGGGGCGAAGAGGCGGTAAAGAGAGAGGGAGAGATGTTTTTGAAGAAAAAAAAAAGAAAGAGAAAGGGAGATAGATAGATAGAGAGTGAGAGAGAGAAGTTTGAGAGAGAGAAAAGGAGCGGTGATAATACGCGATGGCGTTCGATCGACGGAAAGAGGGATACGAAAGCGAATGGTTGTGAACAGAAATTTTGACAAGGCTATCGGAGTAAACCTACAAAAATTGCTAGTCGACATTTTCTAAGGTCCTTTGACAGGCCTCTCTCCCACAGACAACGGAGGATGAACTGTACAGAGGATGAGGACGAAGATGAAGACGAATACGAAGAGGTGAGAATATTGTTTTCATCTATCATCTGTCTGAACTCGTGTTTTTTTTTTTTTTCTTAATTCTTTTAAATTGTATGAACGATCGAGGAGAAAAAGAAAAAAAAAGAGAAAGATTTGGTAAGCAAGTGAGAGACCCGCACAAAACGAAACAAAATAAAAAACGAAACAACAAAAAAAGAATTTTTATTTTATTAGTAGTGACGCGCACACAATCATCAAAAACATAAGCAAAACATATCGAGGACTGGACTATCATACAAAAGTCTACCTTAGATAATAATAATAATAATAATAATAATAATAATAATAATAATAATAATAATAAAAGAAATAGCGTGTCTGCAAAAGATTTACAAAGAGCAGAAATTGTAAAATGCGTGTGATTTTTTTAAGGCCTGGCGAAGGCGCTGGCTTTTTGCAACCCAGAATTATATCGAAAGGAGTTCATATGCAAGAAGTTATTATATATGCACTTAGGATTGATAGTGTATGTGCAAATCTTATACATCATGTCCGTACGATTTTATTCGGAGCGATTTATTAAGCGTTTTAAAAATTATTGTGCAGAGAAAGGATTCGTCGTAAGTCCGCTCGTACGAAGGTAGCGTATACACAAAAACTGTCATTTCTTTCCGTACCAATGTGTCTGTCCGTCTGTCTATCTATCTATCTATGGCTTTAAAAACAAAATGCATCTCAATCTATCAATGTTTGCTAGTTTCTATCTATCTATCTATCTATCTCTATCTATCTATCTATCTATCTATCTATCTATCTAATTGTGTTTATATCTATCTATCTATCTATCTCTCTCTCTCTCTCTCTCTATATATATATATATATATATATATATATATATATATATATGCAAGCGTAAAAAAACCCCCCAAAAAACTGCCCGCACTTACGCCATAACATAAAATAAGAGTACGGATAATTTTGTACTTTCCCTCGTATATTCGAAGTCTGTATATCTATCTATCTATCTATCTATCTATCTATCTATCTATCTATCTATCTATCTATCTATCTTCGTATAACACACACATAAACGCATACACACATATATCTGTTTATATTTATTTATTAATCTAACGAGCTAACTTTGTTTCTGTCTATCTATCTATCTATCTATCTATCTATCTATCTATCTATATATATATATATATATATATATATATATATGTGTGTGTGTGTGTGTTTATGTATGCGCGCACGCACGCGTGTGTGTGTGTGTTTATCTGTTCAAGTTCTATGACAGTCATTTCATATCTATCTATCTATCTATCTATCTATCTAATTATGACAGTCATTTAATATCTATCTATCTTCGTATAACACGCATATATGTGAGTTTATATTTATTTATTAATCGAGTGAGCTAACTTTGTTTCTATCTCTGTCTCCCCCCTCTCTCTCTCTCTCTCTCTCTATATATATATATATATATATATATATATATATATATATATATATATATGTATGTGTGTGTTCAGATCTATCTATCTATCTATCTATCTATCTATCTATCTATCTATCTATCTCTCTATCTATCTATCTATCTATATACATACTTTTAAATATCAATCTGTTCATATGTATACAGGTAACTCATTCTGTTCTAGATCTATATCTTTGTGTGTGTGTGTGTCTGTGTGTAATTATAGTCTACCTGTGAATAACCTTGATACGCATTGCAAAAAAAAAGATTTATAAAAAGTAATTTCAAAATCCCAAATCCATGTGTTCTCAAAATTGTCGGTTTTCTGTTGGAAGCAAACGCATTTTATTCCTATACACCTCGGCACATGTGAGGGGCAAGTACAGTTGTAAAGTAATTCTTTTCGACAATAGTTTAGTTAGCAGATAATATGCCATCTTTATGCTACGACTGTTCTGTTGCAGAAACAGAGCCAGTCTGCAGCGTTATCGAGACAATACGAAAGCAAGGTTGTGTTTGTGTGTGGGGTCCGCCAGTAAAATTAAGCTCATCGAATTCACAAACGGCAAATTTCAGACATGGATCTTGTATTTGATGCGTAGAAATAACAGAGGCATGCTAACATACAAACTTGGCACGCATATAGTTTGCGTAATTTCAACGATATGCGGTAACACAGGGCGTATGCAAAAGTAGGTATACAAGTTATGCATTGATTACACGAACATATGGATAATGGTACAAAACTTACTGTATACCTACTTTTGCACACACCCCTGTATAAGCCATACTTCTTTACCGAGGTGTGGTAGCTCAATGAAGTTTATTAACTCAAACGCAAACACACACATACACACACGCACAGACATACATACATACATACACACACA